CCGCAAAGATGCCACCAAGCACCGGTCACTTGAGAAAGGAGATGCATTTGCCAGGACACAGGGTTCCATCTCAGTGCCAGAGGCAGAGAGCCTTCTGGACATGTCTGGGCACTTGGCTGGGGCTCAGGGGTGTGGACAGTGGGGGCTGTGTGGACCAAGAGTTTGGACAAAGATCCCGAAACGCATGGTCTTGCTGTCCTGGTGATTCTAAAGCCCAGGAACCCCAGGAAACTCCAACTTCAGCATCTGACTCGCCCCTGCCTGGTCCTTCATCCAGATGTTGTGCTCCCACCTCTGTCCAGGGCCATGGTGAAGTCAGAGCTGGGACCTGAGGTGGCCCAAGGATTGGAAGCCAAAATTTTATACCCAGCACAAATGCACAACATACTGGTGGTAAGTGCCCGGAGGCCTCTGGGAGATGCTGGAGACCTCCCTTTTAGCTCCTGGGGGGGGGGTGGACAGGTCTCTCAGTTCCAGGGAGGAGACAAGAGGTCAGGGGCATTGGGGTGGGGTGGTCAGGGTGGGTGCTGTGGACCATGCATTGGGCTGGTCGATGCACGGGGCAGGTTTCGCAGTCCACCACGGGGCACACCAGGGGGCATCCAGGCAAGTTCCAGTCCCACGCAAACACACCTGTCCACCGGCCTCTGTCCAGGCACCGGGCACCTTGTCATTCCCACGGATCCAGTTGTGAATGGCCTCGGCTGGCTGGTCCCAGTTGATCTGTGGGGGGGGGCAGGACGTGCATGCGCTGCTGGTCTCTCTGCAGCGCCCTTCCTGCTCCATGACTCCCAGACCCTGGGCAAGCCCTGGGTGACGAGTTCTGGTTTCCTGACCCTCAGTCCGTCACAGAGGTGGACTGAGCCATTCAGGCCTCACTAGGGAGACTTCCAGCATCAAGGGGACATGTCCCCCCACCCCCAGCTGGTGTCCCCCCATGGAGCCTGGCCTGCAGGCCATGCACCTGCAGATTTGGGGCGAGGGTGACCCAGAACCTACCCTGGCTGTTTCTTTCTTCTGGATGCCTTCGTACGAGGCCCCTTCCTCAGGCTGAGGGAGTCTGGGGGCTCTGCCCTCGGCGATCAACCTCACGGCTTGCACCTGGGGAGACCCCTGTGTCAGCACCCCACCCCGCAGGAGGGCTCTGTCCTCCCAGCCTTTAGGGGTGTTGACGGGACGTGCAAGGGGCACCCATCCACCAGCTCCTCCGCTCAGGGGTTGTAGATCCTAGAGAAGGTCTTCCATCTGCGGAGATCGCAGAAGGTTCTAGAAACTGGGGCATCCCTGCACGGAGATACCGCACACAGAGGTCTCCATGTTGCCGTCTAAGACCCCCCTCTCTGCTCTCTAAGGAGGACGGGTTCTGAGTGCCCAGGTGGACTTGGAGGTCCAGGCGTGAGAGTCTGAGATGAAAGTCTCTTTGTGAAAGGGAAGAGGAAGTGGTTGGGGAAGAATCAGGGAAAGTGTGTGGGGGGGTGTCAAGGACCCTTGGTTCACTGTGGGGGGAGCCTGAGGGGAGAGACCCAGAGGTCCCAACCCTGGGGAGGAAAGGGGGTGTCCAAGGGGCTGCACAGTGGGGCATTCTGTAGTGATGGATACGATGTGCTGTGTTGGCATGGGCCAATATGGTGGGGCCAGGAGCCATGCACAAATCCTGGGGAGGAGAGAGAGAGA